GGGGGTGTGGCCTTATGACACACTTCCAGTGATGTCAGAGGGTGTGGCATATGCTAATGAGTTATGCTAATGAGTTCCCCTAGCTCTTTTCCTACGAAACGACCCCTGAAATGAAGCAATATATAAATAAAGTTTCTAAATATTTTTCAGTGGGTCTGATATACCAAAATTTAGGTACATCACATCTATGACATTTATCGCGATGTTCAAAACCACAACATGGTGTTTAAGCTACATTTATGTAGCAGCTAATATCTCAAGCTAGAGGCATTATTGTCTTCTTAATGGTATTAATAGGTGAGAGGATTTTAACTCTTTATTCTTGATCTCTGGGCTGCTAAGATATGTAATTCTTCACAGATGTACTGCATGGAGTTTAATTTAAGTATTTTTTAAAAAAATGTGCAGAAGATTTAGGGGAAGTCATCTTTACAATTCCCAGGCTTGCTCTAAGGAAGAAAAGCGTAGCAAAATGTTTCAGCTATCACCACCTGAATTTCAATTTAAAAAGTGATCTGGATTATAATCACTCTCTTGGGAAAACGGAAGAAGTGAGCAGTGACTCATGTAAGCTCCTACCCTACCACAAATTCAGTTAGTCTTTAAGGTACTACTGGACTCTTACTCTTTTCTACTGCTACAGACAGACTAACATGGCTACCCATCTTGATGACACATTATATTAAAAGGCATGCCATTTGTATGTCTGTTCTTTTAAAATGGCCTGAATAAAAAGAAATTCTTATCATTGCTTAAAACTAGACTGTTGCAATTACTTGGAGAATAATCTCACTTTATCAGGGTGAAGATGCTTTCTATATCATTGAGAAAGTTACTTATAGAATATGAACTGTGCTTAGATGAGATGTTTACAAATGTTTTTATTTCAAAAGGTGAATGTCATTGTTTGGTGTAGTGGTTAAGTGCGCAGACTCTAATCTGGGAGAACCGGGTTTGATTCCCCACTCCTCCACTTGCACCTGCTGATGTGACCTTGGGTCAGTCACAAGCTCTGGCACAGCTGTCCTTGAAAAAGAGCAGTTTGTGTCAGAGTTCTCTCAGCCCCACCCACCTCACAGGGTGTCTGTGGTGGGGAGGGGGGAAGGGAAAGGAGTTCGTAAGCCGCTCTGAGACTCCAAGTGAAGGGCGGGGTATAAATCCAATCTCTTCTTCTTCTTCTTCTTCTCCAGAGCCGACTAATTTATGCAGTAGCCAAATCGCTCACTCACCACTATAATGCCCAGTAGCTCACAAAATAGAATTTTTGCTCACAGGACTCCACAGCTTAGAGGGAACACACTGACCATTCTCTATTAGAAATCCCTAATCTCTGTCCTGAGCCTTAGTGGATTTTTCAGCCATGTGGATTCATGGATGAAGGCTCCATTCCAACTCAATTACCTTTTAGAATTTACAGTCACTGCGCTGAACCGTGAGAACCCCCAGTTGAGGATGTTGTGTCCATTGTTCTCTCTAAGCTGAGTTAGTCTGAGCTAGTGCACAGGTTTTTAGCCTCCAGCTCACACATTTCTGTCTTAGCTCAGGATGGATGGCTCCAGAGCAAACTCATTTATGCAGTAGCCAAATCGCTCGCTCACAACTTTAATGCCCGTAGCTCGCAAAGTAGAATTTTTGCTCACAAGACTCCACAGCTTAGAGGGAGCATTGGTCATGTCAAGGATTTCAGGCATGTGCCAGACCCACATACAATGGTGAGGTAAGTTTTTTTTAATTATTTTTACAAATAACTTTTTTTCCTGGATTAAACACAACAGTGCCTCAAATTGTGTTTGTTTTTCCTACAATGCAAGGCACACAACTACAGTTCCTAGAGAGAGGGAACAATTATTAAACTAGCTTAAGACAAGGATGATTATACAAGCTGGCAGCCAACAGTCCCGGTAGCATCTGATGGATTAGCTTATGAAACTCATGTGCTCTGTAAATATAAAACGAATCACTCTATAAGGATGGTCTTAGGGTTGCCAAGTGTCTTTTAGAGCCCGGCGGGAGAGCCTCGCCGGGTTCCGGGAGCTGTATGTGGATGCGAGCGCGAGAAGTGACACGGACGTCAATAATGTTGGGGGCGTGGCCCCGATCGTCGGAGGGAAAACCATAGAGCTTTCCCTCTGACGATTGGGGCCATGCCCCCAACGTGATCGACGTGGTTACGTCACCTCTGGTGACGCAGCCACGCTGCGCTTCGGGGGGCGGAGTTCCCCCCGGGGCCCGATTCCGCCTCCAAAGCGGGGGTTTACCCGCCACCCGCCCCCACTTGGCAGCCCTAGATGGTCTTAATATTATAGTCCTGATATCATTCCTCAGGAGTATACCTTCCCTTAGGCATGCACACTGGAAATGTGATGTATGTATTAGACAGCCACGTTTGGAAACACGTGTATGAAAATAAGTCTGCTTGGCCAAAGGCTGGATTGATTGCCGTTCCTTGCTGGGTGACGAGAGAGAAGTTACGGATGTGTGGGGACAGTCAATGGGAAGCCACCGTTTGTCACCCCCCTCCCCTTGAAAAACACTCAGATGACTGAGAAGACCCTCAGAAATGAGGAAGCGGAGCAAGGGGATGCGGGAGAAAACTTGAAGAAGGAGCCCAAGATGGAAAAGAAATGGCAGGTTTCCTGAGCTTCAGAATTAAAACTGCCCATGGATTGTACCAGCCATGAGGAGTCAGATGTAAGATGATCCCTGCTAGATCAGGCCCGTGGTCCATCTTGTCCAGCCTCCTGTCTCACACAGGAGCCAACCAGTTCCTCTAGAGGGCCAACAACAGGTGAGAGAGGCCTTCCCCTGAGAAGAACATCAGAAGAGCCCTACTGGATCAGACCAGTGGTTCATCTAGTCCAGCATCCCGTCTCACACAGGGGCCAGCCAGTTCCTCTGGAGGGCCAAGAACAGGGCAGAGAGGCCGACGCCTTCCCTGATGAGAACATCAGAAGAGCCCTACTGGATCAGACCAGTGGTTCATCTAGTCCAGCATCCCGTCTCACACAGGGGCCAGCCAGTTCCTCTGGAGGGCCAAGAACAGGGCAGAGAGGCCGACGCCTTCCCTGATGAGAACATCAGAAGAGCCCTACTGGATCAGACCAGTGGTTCATCTAGTCCAGCATCCCGTCTCACACAGGGGCCAGCCAGTTCCTCTGGAGGGCCAAGAACAGGGCAGAGAGGCCGACGCCTTCCCTGATGAGAACATCAGAAGAGCCCTACTGGATCAGACCAGTGGTTCATCTAGTCCAGCATCCCGTCTCACACAGGGGCCAGCCAGTTCCTCTGGAGGGCCAACAACAGGCGAGAGAGGCCGAGGCCTTCCCCTGAGAAGAACATCAGGGGAGCCCTGCTAGATCAGGCCCGTGGTCCACCTTGTTCAGCCTCTTGTCTCACACAGTGGCCTCAACCAGTTCCTCTGGAGGACCAGCAACAGGGGAGAGAGGCCGAGGCCTTCCCATGTTGCTGCGTCCTGGCACTGGTATCCAGAGGTTTCCTGCCTCCGAACATGGAGGTTCCCTTTACTCACCATGGCTAGTAGCCACCTGTTCTCCATGAGGAGGAGTGTGTAGGGGGGAAAATTAGAGGGAACATTGCCCACCACCGCAGTCCTTTTACAATGGCCAGTTACATTCCTTGCATGCCCACCCTGTCTTATCCTTGTCACCTACCTGGCAGCACCAGCGGAGGTATAAGTTCCTAAGGGAGGACATCGTGGACAGGTAGCTGAGTCCAGTATCGGTGATCCGTACACACCTGTGGAGGAGGTGGGAAATCACAGTGGTAAGAAGGAGATTGTTCCCTTTACTCACTCTTCACTCAGAGTCTCAGAGCAGCTTATAATCTCCTCCCCTTCCTCTCCACACAACAGACACCCTGTGAGGTCGGTGGGGCTGAGAGAGCTCTTTTGAGGACTGCTCCCGAGAGAACAGCTCTGAGAGAACTTGTGACTGACCCAAGGTCACCCAGCTGGCTGCATGTGGAGGAGTGGGGAATCAAACCCAGTTCTCCCAGATTAAAGTCCGCCACTTTTAACCACTACACCAGACGTAAGCATCGTAGAAAGGGGGCGGGGAACAATGAGGGACTCTGATATGATCCTTGCCCCAAGAGGCTAGGGTATAAACAGGGAAGAGAGAGAACATCAAGGGTCTAGACCCTGTTGCCAGCAATGTTCCCTCTAAGCTGTGGCGTCTTGTGAGCAAAAATTCTACTTTGTGAACTACTGGCATGAAAGTTGCGAGCGAGCCATTTGGCTGCTGCATTAAGTAAGTTTGCTCTGGAGCCTCCCTGAGCTGAGACAAAAATGTGTGAGCCGGAGACTAAAAAACGGTGAGCTAGCTCATGCTCACTCAGCTTAGAGGGAACGCTGGTTGCCAGGCTACCTATGAGGTTGCGGTCAAGATACTTTTCAAGTATTCATGCTGTGTGCTTGATCCTCAGTGTTCAGTAACGACAGGAACAGAAATCTCTCTGGTTTCAACGTAGCACCAGTGCTCTAAGACAGGCATGTCCAACTTCGAACAGGTAGTGATCTATTTTTTCCGGCGAAAAAGTGCCGGTGATCTACTACCATGAAAATAAAGTTTCAAATTAGTTTCAAATTAGATTTTAACTCACTAAAGTTGGGTTCCACCGCGTGCACCCAATTAGTTTCAAATTAGATTTCATTTACTGGTAAGCAAAATAAGCAGAAACAAAACAGAGGGACGAAGATTCAGAAAGAACTGCGAACATTGTTTTTATTTTTTATTGAGTTATAACTTCGTTTAACTGTCTCAATAACTTTCTTTAACTTTTATTCAGAGCTATTTGTGTTAAATGTAGGTTAAATGTAAGTCAAACCCGGAGACCAAGTGATCTACCTCTGACGCCTCTGCGATCTACTGGTAGATCGCGATCTACCTGTTGGACATACCTGCTCTAAGATATCGGCTTCCTAATCTGCTGAGAAACATCCACCGATACAAGAGGTAACCACAGTGTCGTTGCAGGAGTTTGATAGTTGAGTGCTAGATGTGTGCAACTTTCCAAACATAACCCAAGACGCATGAATCCATCGAAGGAGGCTGTTTAGTGCGTCTAGATCACTACCATTTGCCAGGGTTCCCTCTAAGCTGAGTTAGTGTGAGCTAGCTCACAGTTTCTTAGCCTCCGGCTCACACATTTTTGTCTTTGCTCAGGAAAGATGGCTCCAGAGCAAACTAATTCATGCAGGAGCCAGATCGCTCGCTCGCAACTTTAATGCCAGGAGCTCACAAAGCGGAATTTTTGCTCACAGGACTCCACAGCTACATTGCCATCTGCTTTCATTGGCTGTGGTACTTCAACAACTTGGGTGGGAAAAGATCTTTCCCATTGCCTACTAACTCAGATCCTTTGACAAAATACCAGGGATTGAACCTGGGAGCTTCTGTATGCCTCCAGAGCAAATTAATTTATGCAAGTAGTCAAACTGCGTGATCACGACTTTAATGCCAGTTGCTCACCAAGTAGAATTTTTGCTCACAAGACTCCACAGCTTAGACGGAACATTGATTGGCACTGGTACTTCAACAACTTTGGTGGGAAAAGGTCTTTCCCATTGCCTACTAACTCAGATCCTTTGACAAAATACCAGGGATTGAACCTGGGAGCTTCTGTACGCAGGCCATGTAGTCTGCCACTGGGCCGTGGCCCCTGCCGAGCCAATAAGTAAACCAAACAACCTTATGATGATTCAGACCACCGGTCTCTCTAGTTCTGAGCTGTAAATTCTGACAAACAATAGCTTTCCACTGTCTCCAGCGGGAATATTTCCCAGCCCAGCATCCGTTTAACAGGAGACCAGACCAGGAGCAGCTGAGGGATTCTGTGTACAAAACCACGCAATCAGATTTTTAAAAAGAAAAGAACCGTTTAAGTGAAAGATTCCGGGAGTCGGTTGGGGAGGTTTCCTCAAGACTATCCAGGTGCTAGCCCGCACGCTGTAAATTCTGACAAACAATAGCTTTCTACTGTCTCCAGTGGGAATATTTCCCAGCCCTGCACCCGTTTAACAGGAGACCAGACCAGGAGAAGCCGAGGGATTCTGTGTACAAAACCATGCGATCGGATTTTTAAAAAGAGAAGAACCGTTTAAGTGAAAGATTCCGGGAGTCGGTTGGGGAGGTTTCCTCAAGACAATTCGGGTGCTAGCCCGCACTGAGCACAGCAAGCTTCTGCCTGAAATGTGCAGAAAGGCACACAGAGGCCCACAGAATTCAGCCACGGGGAGGAATGACAAAACATTTTTAGCTGTGGCTAAAAATGCTACTTGCTTCTTTCAGCCTGGGACCGATTCCCTGTGCATGACAGGACAACTCACAAGAGGGCAGCATTGGATTAAAAAGGTAAAGGTTCCCTTGCTCGAAAGCCAGTCGAATCCGACTCTAGGGTTGCGGTGCTCATCTCCATTTCAAAGCCGAAGAGCCAGCGCTGTCTGAAGACGTTTCCGTGGTCATGAGGCCGGCATGACTAAACACCAAGGCGCACGGAACACTGTTCCCTTCCCACCAAAGTGGTACCTATTTACCTACTTGCAATTTCTTGCTTTCGAACTGCTAGGTTGGCAGGAGCTGGAACTAGAGACGGGAGCTCACTCCGTCATGCGGCACACTCGGGTCTCGAACTGCTGAGCGACCGACCTTCCACAGCCTGCAGTTCAGCGTCTTCACCCCTTGAGCCACCGCAGCTATTACAGAAGTGTCATGGGCTGTGCAGTGCCTCGTCTAAGGAGAACCATTGGGTGTTTCTAGATAGTGGCTCCCGTCCAGAAGTAACCCCTCCAAAGGGACAGAGCAGGAGGCGGAAGGCTGCCTCCCGCTCCACGCAGATACACATGCTCTGCAACAGAGCAATACTTGGACGCGTTTGCCTATTTCTCTCCCCTCTCTGCTTCTGCCTCATCTATCCGTATTTCCTCTGGTAATCAAACCGGGCTTGATTTAGAAGCTTAGCAGGGCCAGCCCTGGCTACCGTTTGGATGAGACACCTCCAAGGAATACCAGGGTCGTGATGCAGAGGCAGGCGATGGCAAGCTACCTCTGAACACCCCACTAAGAGTTGCCACAAGTCAGCTTGTAAAAGGTAAAGGTAAAGGCTTCCCTTGCTCGAAAGCCAGTCGAATCCGACTCTAGGGTTGCGGTGCTCATCTCCGTTTCCAAGCCGAAGAGCCAGCGCTGTCTGAAGACGTTTCTGTGGTCATGTGGCCGGCATGACTCAACACCAAGGCGCACGGAACGCTGTTCCCTTCCCACCGAAGCGGTACCTATTTATCTACTTGCAATGTCTTGCTTTTGAACGGCTAGGCTGGCAGGAGCCGGAACTAGAGACGGGAGTTCACTCCGTCATGCGGCACACTCGGGTCTCGAACTGCTGAACGACCGGCCTTCCACAGCCCCGCAGTTCAGCGTCTTAACCACTTGAGCCACCGCAGCTCCAGTCAGCTTGACTTGATGGCAAAAAAGAAAAGAGAGAGACAGAATTTCTGGTTCCTATCCGTCTTGTGTTATCGGGACCACACAGGCCTGCCTCTCACTGTACGTGGCCAAGCCTGTGGCTGGGCTTGTGCTGTTTCAGGAATGAAGCGGAGCCTCATATGACTGAGGTGGGGGCTATGGCTCAGTGGCAGAGCCTCTGCTTGGCATGCAGGAGGCCCCAGGTTCAATCCCCGGCATCTCCAGTTAAAAGGACCAGGTAGGAGAGGATGGGAAAGGCCTCTTGCCTGAGACCCTGGAGAGCCACTGCCAGTCTGAATAGACGATACTGACCTTGACGGACCAGGGGTCTGATTCGGTGTAAGACAGATGTATGTGTATGTGGTTGAATGCTCTCCTATGAAGTATTTCTTGGCATGCAGAATCCTACCGTTCACACTCACTCAGCTGAGAGGGAACACACTGGTCACAGGTCCTCTCCACCACCCTAGGCTTCTATGTGGATGCAGTATTTTTGTATGGTGGTAAAACTGTGCAACCCACTCAAATCATTTCCTCACTGAAGACTAGGCCATTGGCTAAGCAATGGAACTGCCTTTTGACTCCTGAAAACCCATTTGTTGGATCTTTAGGGAGGGGCCGTGGCTCAGTGGAAGAGCCTCAGCTTGGAATGCAGAAGGACCCCGGTTCGATCCCCGGCATCTCCAGTTAAAAGGACCAGGCAGGCAGTGATGTGAAAGTCCTCTCGCCTGAGACCCTGGAGAGCCCCTGTCAGGCTGAGCAGACAATACAGATTTTATTTATTTATTTATCATTTGTATTTATACCCCGCCTTGCCTGACAAGCAGGCTCAAGGCAGCTAACAAGATTAATTGAGCTCCCAGAGGAGATCCGGGCCCTGCGGTACCTTATACAGTTCCGCAGGGCCTGTAAGACGGAGCTCTTCCGCCAGGCTTTCGAATAGGAGCCGCCGCCGCCACTGTGCCATCAACGCCCTATAATTTCCGCACATTGCCACCGCTGGTGCGGGTACCATCGGAGGGAGGGGGACGTTCCTAGGGAACGACAGGGCAGTGATGATATGCACTGCAGTTGTTGTGTAGCTATACTATCGAGAACACCATCTTGGTTCTAAAATTCGGAAGTGAGTAGGGGAGCACCGAAATGACTTTTATGAATCTCATTTAATTGTCCATTCTGTGTTTTTAGTAATGTATACTGTTTTGTTGTTGTTATCTGGCATTATGCCTCTGTCAGCCGCCCTGAGCCTTCGGGGAGGGCGGGATAGAAATCCAAATAAATAAATAAATAAACATTGTGATTTCAGCAGTGGCCGGACAGATGTTGCGGGGATGCTCGCACGTGAGGCACAAATTGACAGTTGTCGTCTGGTTTGCCTTTGTGTGAGACACTGGTTGGTATTCTGCACACATTACCCTTTGAGGCTCACGTGTACACACTTGTGGTGGTGGGGAAATAATCTGTAAAGAAACGGAGGGGGCAGCTAATGCACACAGCCAGCTCAGGGGAGTGGTTGGAGCATCAGACCAGGATTTGGGAGGCCCAGGTTCGAATCCCCGCTCGTACTGTGGAAGCTCACTGGGTGACCTTGGGCCAGGCACACACTCTCAGCCTAACCTACCTCACAAGGAAGTTGTGAGGATAAAACGGAGGAGAGGAGAATGATGTAAGCCCCCCCCCCTTACCTATCAAGCACCAGCTCCTCCAGTTTGTGCAGGTCACAGGCGATGTACTCCAGAGCCATGTCCGTGATCCGAGGGCACCACGAGAGGTCCAGGCTGCGGAGCTTGCGGAGGTTCTCCGCCACCAGCTCCACGCCGTCGTCCGTCACCTTGGAGCAGCCGGAGAGGCTGAGGGTGCTCAGGTTGGGGAGGCTGTGCACCATGTTGACTACCCCGTGGTTCGTGATCTCCCAGCAGGAGTTGAGGCGGAGGGTGTGGGTCGTGTAGCCCTGCTTGGCGGTGAAGTAGGCCAGGGCCGTGTCCGTCACGTGGTAGGCCTGCAGGTTGAGCTCGGTCAGGTTGGGCAGCAGCTGGGAGATGGCGGCGATGGCGTCGTCGGCCACATTGATGCAGTCGCTGACGCTCAGGGACGTGATGCGGGCGTTCAGGCTGGACCACAGCCCCGCCTCGGTGAAGTCGTTGCATCCGGACAGCTCCAGCCGCATCACGCCCTGCATCTGTTCCAACATTACCTGCGAAGAGAGGAGACGGACGTCATTGCTCTACAAAACCCGCCGTTCTCCCGAACATTGGGGAACGGCACAGCAATACTACAACTTGCAGTGACAGGTTTGGATCATTTATTTATATATTTATTTATGTATCAGATTTTTCAACCATCCAGACGGCAAGGCGGACTGAGGGCGGTGTACAACAGGTTAAAAGCAAATACATAACAATTTAAATTTAGACTAACCATACCGTTGCTGTTCTCAACTGTATGCCAGAGCAATAGTCATAGTCAATACTACCCTTTATGGACCAATAGAATGACTTAGTATAAGGCAATTTCATGTCTGTGTGTGTCCAATTAAACTCTGGAATTCACTGCCACTGGAAGTAGTAGTCGTATAATTTATTCGGTTTATAACCAGCACAAACCTCTACATCAAAACCACAGTAATATTATAGATGCCACCATATACAGAATTTTAAGGATTCAGTTATCTTGTCCAGAACATCTGTGTAAAACCCACAATTCTTGAAGCACTCAAACGAGATCTAAAATGATTTACAGCATAATTGAATAAAAGTTCCCATGACCTCTAATTTCCTTCTGGACTTTATCTTTGTGGATTTTATGAGGTATAGCTGAAAATTAGCACAATTCAATATGAACAGTGGATTAGGATCAAATAATAGTTTCCGGGTTGCTTCCACATCCGAAAACCCATAAAACCTCTCTGATATAAGGTGGATGATCTTTACCCTGCCCACAGTGTAGTATTATATGCTCAATCGATTCTATGTTCCCTGCACTGCAGGGGACGAGCCGCTCTGCCAATGGTACCTTTTTATACCAGCCTTCTGTTACTGCTGAGGGGAAGATATTTCATCTGGCCATGGAGAAAGCCCTGCGATGTGACGGAATCTCTAGAAGTGTTAAATATGTTGTAGGGGCTACTGTATATTTCGTTTTCTGCGGGGCCAGATCAGACGGGGCTCTTGCAATATCATTCTGCCTCTCTATATCATATATTCTTTAACGTTAGCCCCCGCCTTTTCTATTGGCAGGGGTCATTTCCTGCGGGAGCGCACAGGAGCGGAGCTCCGGCAGTAAAGAGCCCAGGGGGTGGGCACATGCAACAAGACCCACCCCCTGCTCCCAGCAGCCCTCAGTCAGAGCAAGAAGCAGCCAGGTAAGTTGCAGAGCCCCCCGCCCCCCCGTTCAAAACAGTCCGGTGGCACCTTTCAGACCAAGTTTTATTCAGGTCCAAGCTCTCCCTCCTCTGCGAGGACAGATCTGCACATTCCCCCCCCCCCAATGCCTAGCAATCCAAAACAGTCCAGTGGAGCCTGAGCGGTGGGTGTTGCCTTATGACACACTTCTGGTGATGTCAGGGGGTGTGGCATATGCGGTGGGGAGGGGAAGGGGAAGGGGAAGGGGAAGGGGAAGGAGTTTGTAAGCCGCTCTGAGACTCCAAGTGAAGGGCGGGGTATAACTACAATCTCTTCTTCTTCTTCTTCTTCTTAAGCCAGGTTGAGCGATGAATGTCCCTAAGGATTAGGGCGGTAATGTCTGAGGGAGCCCCCGGAAGTAGTGATGGCCACTAACCCAGATGGCTTTAAAAGGGGATTAGACAGATTCACGAGGAGGAAAGGTCCTTTGGCGGCTACTAGCCAGGATGACTTAAGGAAACCTCCACGTCCAGCAGCAGTCAACCTCTGAACGCCAGTGCTGGAGGAGGAAGGTCACATCAGGGAGAGCTCTTGGCTTCTATGCCCTACTTGTGGGCTCCCCCTGTGGCATTTGACTATTCAGTGTCGGAAATGGGATGCTGGACTAGATGACCTATAGCAGCGGTTCTCAACCTGTGGGTCCCGACCCCTTTGGGGGCCTAAGTCCATAGGAAAACACAAATTGTCTTTGTGATGAATCACCATGCTTTAATTATGTTCAATTTGTAACAATGAAAATACATCCTGCATGTCAGATATTTACATGACGATTCATAACAGTCGCAAAATTACAGTTATGAAGTAGCAGCGGAAATAATTTTATGGTTGGGGGGCCACCACAACATGAGGAACTGTATTAAAGGGTCGCGGCATTAGGAAGGTTGAGAACCACTGACAGGGCTATTTTTGGGCAGGAACGCAAAGAACGGAGTTCCGGCTGGCTTCCAAATTGGCCACACCCAGCAGGAACTCATTAGCATAATAGGCCACACCCAACAGCAGGAACTCATTCGGATTGGCTACATTCGGGGTGTGTGGCCTAACATGCAAAGGAGTTCCTGCTACAAAAAAGCCCTGGGTTTTGACAACAAACAAGGTAAACAGAATAAGAAGTAAAAGGTGGGTGTGGCTGGATGACCACACTTCTGGTAACATGGGGGTGTGGCCTGATATGCTAATGAGTTCCTGGTGTTGGGTATGGCCTATTATGGTAATGAGTTCCTGCTGGGCTTTTCCTACAAAAAGAGCCCTGAGTCCACTGACCTATAGTGTTTCTGGCGATTCCCACATCTACCCCTTGTCACTTCTGGGAAATACTTCTGGAAAGTACACGAGGGTGCATTTTAAAAAAAAGAAGAAGCAGCTCCAGCTGTCACTCCAAGCAGCAAGCAAGCAACAGGGAACCCTCCACCCCTAAGGCGGGCTTGGCAGCTCTAGCCGGTGCAATCTGGGACCTGTGTATCTTCGGGAGCGTCTCCTCTGATATGTCCCAGGGAAAGCGTTCAGCTCTGCTGAGAGCAATCTACCGGTGATCCCCGGGCCCGGAGATATCCAGCTGCCCTCGACCAGGGGCGGGGCTTTCTTGGTCTTGGCCACGACCTGGTGAAACTCTCCGCCAGCTACCACCAGGGCCCTGTGGGAACTTATACAGTTCTGCGGGGCCCGTAAGGCAGGGATTTCCCGCCAGGCTTTTAGCTGAGGACAGCAACGTTTTTCCACCATAGCCGGCACCCTCTTCTTTTCTTCCATCTTACCTACTTCGGCCTCCTCCTTAACTGGCCTGCGAGACAGAAGAAGAGCCCAGAGTGGGTTTTAGATTAAATCAGGGCTATTTTGGGGCAGGAACGCACAGGAACGGAGTTCCGGCTGGCTCCCGAGTTGGCCACACCCAGCAGGAACTCATTAGCATAATAGGCCACACCCAACAGCATGAGATCATTAGGACTGGCTACATTAGGGGTGTGTGGCCTAACATGCAAAGGAGTCCCTGCTCCAAAAAAGCCCTAAACAGAATAAGAAGCAAATGGTGAGTGTGTCTGGATGACCACACTTCTGCGAACATGGGGTGTGTGGCCTAATATGCTAATGAGCTGTGCTGTCAGGGGTGTGTCCTAATAAGCAAATGATTTTCTGCTGTTGGGTGTGGCCTATTATGCTATTGAGTTCCTGCTGGGCTTTTTCTACCAAAAAAGCCCTGGATTAAATTATGAACACCACCTGGAGACTAGTAAATTGAGCTTGACTGGCTGATCTATTTATTTTATTTTTATTTATTTATTGTATTTATAACCCGCCCTCCCCGTAAGCTTTCGCAGGGCGGCTCACGTTGCCTGGCACAGTGTGCCAAGATTCATATACAGTTAAAACATTTAAAACTTAACATTGAACACTGTTAAAACTTTTAAAACATTTAAGCGATCGACGATTGCCGAATAAAGTGCACTCAGTGATTATTAACCAAGATGGCGTAGCATGTCATGCAGGCTCAGGCAATTACAGGATTCTAGGCGGTTTGGCTCAGTCTCACTGCCGCCAGCCTCCACCACAGATATTAATAGTGGTCATTGATGGTGATGTGGGTGGCTCCTAATTAAAGGCCTGGTGGAAGAGCTCCATCTTGCAGGCCCTGCGGAACTGCATAAGATCCCGCAGGGCCCCGATCTCCTCCGGGAGCTCATTCCACCAGTAAGGAGCCGCCACTGAGAAGGCCCTGGCTCTTGTAGTTGCCAGCCT